TTAAATAATAGTAAATTTTGGAGAATTGCGTCAATTTTTCACTTTTTTTCTCAAATAATGTTATTGCAATAAACTTATTTCCCTTTTTTTCTTCTTTAAATATATTTACAACTTTTTGTTGAACTAAAAAAGAAGAAGAAATGGTTGGCTATTTTGAGGAGTGAATTTTAAAATGTTGAAAATAGCATAAAACACCAATCGATCGATATAAATGATATAAATAAATATAAATATGTATATATAATGAAGAGTATGTAAGTGAAGAAAAGTTTTTGATCGTTTTCCATTTCCCATTGGGACTATCTATCTTTCTCAATCCTCTTGATCAAGTTATTGGCATTCAATAAATTAAATTATTTCCTTATTTCATTACAGTTTTCTTCTTTCACTACAAATTTCTTTTTTTGCTTTTTTTCTCTTCCCTAAATTTCTTATTCTCAAATAATTCCAAAATATAAATTATTTTCAAATAATCCCAAAATATAAATTATTTTCAAATAATTCCAAAACATAAACGAATAAAAAATTCTAAACATAAAAATTGAATTCATTCAAAATTAAAAAGTTTTGAAGAGAAACTCAGCATTTTGCATTTATTTTTATCAAAGATATTTAGCGAAAAAAAAAAGGAAAATAAAGGAATTTCTCTTAAGAAATTATTTTATAGTATAAAATCTTATCACTTTAAACAGTTTGCGACTAATCTACTAAAATTTTTTGCAAATAAAAATTTTGAATCATTCTTCTTGCTATTTATTTGAGCATTTAAAATATTATTGAAATATTTAAAATTTTCATTTTTTAAATTAGTAAATATTAAAATTGTTTGGGTAAAAAAATGAGAGAAAATTTTTTAGCATTGCTGTTGTAAATAATTGTAAATTTATTTCTTATCCAATAAAATCTGAATTAAATTGGCTTGAAAATGAAAAAGGCTAAAGCTCGGCATTGAACTTATTGCTTGAAGCCTAGTAGCTATTACCGTAACCTGATTGAAAAGACAAGGAACAAAGCTACACTTTGTATGTATTCTCGTCATTCGTTGAATGCATATTAATTGTGACTCCGCTTCATTTTCTGCTATGCAATTGAGCATTTTCATTTCCGATTAACTTTTCTTTCCCTTCTCTCCCTCTCTCTCTATTTCTCTTTATTCTTCATCAAAGAAAGAATCGTTTCCATCAAATGCTCAATATAGTTTAAGAAATAAGTAAGTAAAGCTCTAAGGAAAAATGCTTTTGATTCTATCAGTGTATGATAGATTCCAGAAGAAATTCCTTCCTCTCTCTCTTTCTTTCTTTTCTCTTCTTCCTTTCTCTCTCTCTCTTCTTTTATAAAACGAATGTATTCAAAATTGAATTAACTTCCACTTTTCCTTCTACCAATGAAATTGTAAGGCAATTCCAGGAAGTGTTATGCAAAAGTTTGATTAGAATTTCTAAGAGTATGCTAAGTAACATAATAAAGCCGCTGATAATAAATTCGTATATTTCCAATTCAAACAATAATTATCAATAATCATTTTATCAGATGCATTTAATACAATTTAATCAATAGTTTTTCATTTATAAATTAAATCAATCGTTCCGTTATATCATTTATAATGCTATTTTAATCGTTAAAATCATTTATTCAATTTATTTACTAAATGAAAATAGCAATATTTTATTAATTGATTTTATAGCATTTATCGTTATCATATTTTTATCATAATTATGTTTTTTGCCTTCTGAGCAATGTAGATTATTTTAACTGATTTAAAAATTAAATCAGTTAACATCATATTCGTTAATATTCTTTCAATAGAACCAAATAGGATTTAACAAAAATGGATTAAATTTTTTCATGAATTTTTATTGAATTTAAAAATAATAGGGCATTGCATATACATATATATTTAGTTAACTATAATTTGCATATTACAATTGACTTAAGTTTATCCAATTTTATATTATAAAATAATTTGGAAAAATTTTTTTAAAGCTATATAATTGCAAATGAAATATATATAGTAATTGGAAATAAAATTCTTGTAAAAAACATTTTTGATATTATTATTAGGTTTGGTTTCAAAATAGGCGTGCAAAACATCGTAAACAGGAAAAGCAACTATCAAAAGCATTGGTACCACAAACAGTATTTCCATCTCAAAGTGCTGCAGGTCAAATAATGCGAACACCAATCTATCCATCTACTGCCTCTATGTCTGCTCGAGCTGCTGCTGATCATTTCTGGTAAAAAATTAATATAATTTAATTTTCTTTTAGAAAAAATTAATAGTTTTGCAAAATGTTCGAAATAATAAATTAAAAAGACTCATAAATAGTTAGTGGCGTTAATTTAAAAACTCAAATGATAATTTAAATTATTTCATATCATTTGAATTATTATCTTTTCCGCAGATATATAACAATTAATTAAAGATCAAAATGCAGCAAATTTTAAGCCAACAATGTTTACTTATTTTATTGTTTCTTAATTACAAAAATATTACAAATTATTTTAAAGGTAATTTATTAAGTGTAATTTATTTTTCTTAATTCAAACAAGTGAAAACCGATTATCAGCGAATATTAAACTATCTTACTAAACATCATTTTTTAATTATTAACATTATTCACGCTAATTTCAGGTATCAACCGTATCCTGTAGCTCATCCGATCACCTATCCTGCAGCTTCTGCTTATGGGGCTGTATCAAATGCTCACGCGTTTGGAGCTCCAATGGCTACGTAAGCTTTGTCTTTACCTTTTCTTTTTCATTTTTGAATCAAAAAATTAATTTTATTTAATAAACAAAATAAAATCATTAATCAAAATTTCAATTATTTCTTTTGTTTTTTTTATTGCAGAAATTTTAGGTCAACAATTAGTACATTTAGTGCTGATCCAGCCGAAGATTTCTATCAAAAAAGTTTGGCACTACGAGTGAGCTGCCAACCACCAACGACAAATATTCAATATCAAAGCTAATCAGGCATAAATTATTCATCAAATAAACATTTCTTTTTGCATAACAAAGTTCAACAAAATTGTTTTTTCCTTAACTTTTAAAAGTGAATTTAAAAAATTTAAACAAAAAAATTATATAGCAATTTTCGATTATTTTTCTTAAAATTTAATTTTTTAAAAATAGTTTTTCAACAATTTATTTTGTTGAACATATTGAATTGTTTCACTTTTAGCTAAAATAATTAACAAATTAACAATTAATGCCGGTTTTTTGTATTGATCTCATGGATAGGTTGTATTTCTCTTTTTATCAGTAAATTATTTCTTGTCTTTTTGCAAATTTTGAAAAGATAAAAGAAAGCATAAATTATTTTCTTGCGATTTCTTAAATTTTAGCAAAAATAAAAGATTAGGAACAATTATTTCGTTATCATTTTATCAGTTGCAAAATCATCCATTTCAATATTTGCTAAATGGAAGTTAAATGTGATAATATTTTGATGAATGATTGTTAAATGCTAAATAACTTTTTGTGAAGAACTGTTACATTTCATGAAGTTGTTTTCAAATAATTTCATTCAATTTTTCTCATTATTAATTAAGAAAAATTAGTAATTTCTGCCTCCTACACTACATTCGAAGAAAATTTATGAATAGCAGCAAATAATTAATAAAATGATTTCAAAAAAATAAACAAATAAATAATTGTTTATTACGATTACTTTCTCTAAAAACTTCTACAAACCGGTGATACTTTCATTTAACGGTTAATTTACATTCATAAAACGGAATTTAATTATTCATTTTATTGATTTCATTCGTTATTGTAACTTTAACAATTCCGTTTTAATATTTTTGATTTATCATTTTGTTGAAATTTAATGCTTCGATGTAATTTTGCTTTAATTTTTTTGTTTTTGTTTTTGCTATAAATGAATAGCATAAGAATATTTATTTCTTTTATTAATATAATTTGAATATTTGAATAATACACAAAATCCAATTGAAAAATTCATTTTCTCATTTTTTTCAAATAATTTAAAAAAGAAGATTATCGATTAGAATGAAAATTAGGCTTTGATAAATTCTTCTTTGCATCATTTCATACTGATATCATTCATTTATTGATAACAGTATGCTCAAAACATTAATGGTACTGTTGCAAATTAAATACTCTAAGACAGTAAAATATGTTTACAAAATAATAAATGCAGGGAAAAAAGAATGAAAGGTTATTTGTTGTACAAAGGAAAAAAGATTTTCAACATTTCAAGTAATAAAAAAATTAGTTTAAAATAATGGCTGTGTTCGTTGAGTGTTATGATAATTCGTTGATAATTAACAAATTCAAATAGATTATTGGCATTCCATTTTTTTAATTTTTAATTTAAATGTTGCAAGAAAAAAAGTGATAAAATATTTATTGTGTTAATCATTGATACAGTATGATTGCTTATCACTCAATATATGTATGTTTCATTTCAACAATTTTATTCTTTCAAAATTTATTGAATAATGCGAACACTAATCTATTTGTGTTAATCATTCTTAGAGCGCGCTATCATTTAAGGATCAATGAAGTAAATCTGATTCGAATAAGAATTTATGAAATGATAAAATTACATGGAATGATTTAATAAATGAATAATAGTAATTGAATATTATTATCATTATCTTTTTTGGATATTTAAAAAGATTTTTATCAATTTGAAAATATGAAAAAGTGCCTAAATATTATTTATGCATTTATATGTTTCAAATCTGGTGCAAATATATTAAAAATATATAATTTCTTTTATTCAACCCCAATAATATATATATATATATTCATCCGGTATTTAACAACGAATAAATTAACATTTTTTCTGCAAAATTTATTGTCTTAAGAAATATTATACGCATACTGTTATTAATTCATTTTGTCCCTAATATTTCAAATTTCAAAACAAAAAACAAGAAAAAACAATAAATAAAAAACAATAAGTTATAAGGAATAAATCTGAAATACTATACAATCAAATAAATTATCGATATTTTATGATTGCATAATCATTTCTTAATTTCACAACGTAATCCACGATATTCAGGCTTACAGATACATCGTGGTTCACCACGTGATGTCTTTATGCATTCTGCGTTATTATAGCATAAATTTAAACAAATATCTGAAATTAAAATAAAATCAAAAAATAATCGAATCTTTTTTTATTTGTATATTGGAATAAAATTATATCTATTTTATTTATTGTTAAAATGTTCATATTATCATTAACGTACCTTAACATAATTATGATATTATCACATCTGTACAATATATTTGCTAAATTAAATGAATCTTGTAAAGTTTTTATTATCCGTGAAATTTGAAGGGATTAAATTTTGTTCTTTAATTGCTAATATAATCAACAAGGGCAATCTATCCTATAAATCGTTTGGTTAACTAACCATTTGATCATACGCTGGACATTATTATACATGAAATTAATAGTTAAATTATTCTATCTTAATTTAATGATTTGGTCTATTTAGTAGATGTGACCGTCTAATCTCACTAACTCAATAATTAACATTTGCTTCGCACTTTTCTACCTTATTTCAACTTATACTATAGTTGAATTGTTAAACATTGAGCTAACCGGTACAGTTAAATCCGTTTCCGACAAAGCCTGGTTGGCATCGGCAGCTATATGTTGGTTTATTTTCCTTATCAGGTAAATCGATACATGCCGCTAACCAGTGACATCCATGTTCACCGCTTGCACATTGATTCGTTGAAACACAAGTTTCAATTGATGTAGCACCTGAAATAAAAAGAAAACAGTAAATAATTATCACGAATTTAAGTTTAAATAATTTAATTACATTTTGACATCTACTTGTATATCATCTCTTTTCAATAATTTCATTAATATTACATTTAAAATAATTACCAAGAATCCTTGTTGTGGTACCGGATGGGCAACGTTTACAAGAATTGGAACCAATTTCATCCTGATAATAACCATAGTTACAATTCAGGCATTGTTTAAGATGCCAATTTAAGTAATTTCCTTGTTTACAGGTTGCTGGAATTATCAGGAAACATCAGAGAACAATGATCTCATGCTAACAGTAATGTACTGATATATAAAGCAATGGAATACATAAATTCCGAAATGATCATTTTTTCATTTAATAATAAAATTTTACGCTATTAAATCTATTTTATTAGCTTGCTACCGTTTTATTAAATCCGGTATAAGTAAAATTTCGGATTAACTAATCTTTCAAATGCAACAATAAATTCCTCAGCATCGAATTGACAAAGGAAGAAATGAAATCATAAAAAGTAATTGGATAATTAGAACTAACGTAGTATGCAATGCATTTCGCTAGTTGAACCAACTGATTCCGTTATGTATGCCGGATCACAGGGTCGGCATAATACATCATTTGGTTCCTTGAAAAATCCACGCTTACACGGTACACAACTACCATCAGATGAATGTTCCTCTCCTGGTGGACAATTTCCTGGAATAAAAATTATTCGTATTACAAAAATGTAATAACACTTGTCTAATTACAATTAATAAATGGTTGCAACTATAATTGCCAAAGCATTTATTTTATTATACTTTTGAAATTTTAATAAATTCCATTAAATATTTCGAATTTAACAATTTAGAATGAACGAATATTTTGTTTGAAAATTTTGAATTGCATAAATTAGTGCATTAATACTATTTTCATTTTTACGGCAGTTTTGTAAGTGTTGACAAAAAACTTTTTACCAATACATTGATCAATTGATGTTGAATTGAGGCTAAGAGTGACAGTATTTTGTGGGCATGGTAAACAGCTTGTTGAGCCTAAATTTGGTTGATAAGCCAAATAGCCGCATGGTTCACATTTACCGGTTATTTCATTCCAAAAATAGCCGGCAAAGCATTCTACTGCAAAATTATTAAACCATTGGTAATTTCAAATATATTCAAAATGAAAAATGATATTATACATTATCAAAGAAAAAAGCGAATACAAACCAACACATGAAGTAGCATGAATAGATCCGGTGGTTAATGTCGCATATCCTTGAGGACATTTATGGCATCTTGGTCTACCGGATCGATGTTGATAATAACCCCGAGGACAAAGTTCGCACTTCTTTGATAAGAGGCTGTGATAATGGCCAGGTTCGCAGAGTACTACGGATAGCATGAATTATGAGATGTTAGTAAATCGATAAATTTATTAAATATTTAATGCTATATCGAAGATGGCAACTAACAGGAATAATAAATTATCATTATTACTATTAAAAAATAATAGATTTTAAAATTATCCGCTATTTTATTTGTTATAGCTATTGTAACATTATACTTTTATTTTTTTTGAGCATTTCACCACTTAATTAAAAATTGAAAACTATTCTAAGATAATTATTACCATTATTATTATTATTATTATTATTATTATTATTATTATTATTATTATTATTATTATTATTATATTCAACTATTATCATCATCGTCAATGACTATAATCAAGCATTATTATCAGTATGATAATTATTGGAATTAATATTTTGCTGGTCATCATTATCATTGTTAGTAAAATTTCTATTGCAGCAATTTGTTATCAATTCTCATGCTTCATTTATGTTAATTATAAATAATCGGTTAAAGGTTGCATTGCCATCCTCTTTTTATTACATATTGATTAATTCGTTATCACCATAGTATGATTGAAAATGTTGCAATTACCGTTATCAGGTGGAAGATTGCTGCTAAAACAACTGATGTTGATGAACTATAGTTTTTGGATGACAGAGCAAATAATGAATGATATTATCATAAAGTGCGAAACCATTAATACAATCACTACTGCTATCATTGCATAGATATTCAACAAGATGTCTCAAATATGTGTCTTTCTTTCTCGCACCATAAAAATATCTAACTTATCGGAATTGATAAATATCACAGTATAGGATAGCAGCAATTATAAAACCGATTGGTATGATTTCTATACACAAATAATTCTAAATTTTTCCCTAATAATGTATAAAATTATTTGTTTCATTTCAATTTTCGATGATAATTTGAAATTGTATACAAAGCAAAATTGGAATAAAATTTTAAAAGTTTCGATAATTTTTCTAAGCAATTTTTGTTATTTATTTGCATAATTTCTTTTTTCTTCTTTTTCATCAATTTAAAAATTTATTTTGCCATTTTTTAGGATTATTTTATGCCCAATAAAATCATGCAAAATAAGATTAATATGTGCATGTCCACGTTGATTTTATCATTTGATAAGCTAATTCATTTCAAGTTTGATTAAATTACTTTAATTCAAGTTCAATAGGTTAGTTCATTTTAAGTTCGATAGTCGCAATGTGAACCAATTATTATTATTAGAATTAGAATGATGGAAGAATTATGATCAAACAAAAGCAATTGATTTTAGAATATAATTCGAACAAATTGTTGGACTGTAAATTTTTGTGTGATCAGCCATAGGATTATAACATTATGTATAATAAGGAATAATTTATTTTAGCTTTTAATTAAATTTCATTTTTTTTAATTTAAAGCACATAGTAAATGTTTATCAATTCGCTTTCAAAGATTTAATTAATTAATAATTAAAAATGTTAAAATATTTTTTGTGTTAAAATTTGTTAAAATTTTTTGTGCTAAATAATAAAATTTTTTTGCAATAAAAGAAATATTTTAAATGAAATGAAATTTTGACTTCTAATTTTATTATTGTTTTAACTATCAATGAAATAAAAATTATTCTTATTCATTATTATCATCCAGTTTGCATAAATGAATGAAAATAATTGGAATGATAATTTTCAAGCAAACTCAACAAATATCCTAATTGATTTTAAACAAAGTGAATTTAAAAAAATTATTTGCCAGATCCGGTAAATTGCATGATATTTACTTTATTATTCGAATGCATTTATATTTTTGATATATTTCCAATTAAACATATATATATATATATATATATATATATCGACATATATGATTTTGTCAGCTTATCTTCCATCACAATATTTTTCATTTACTGTTTTTTTTTGTCATCAATTTGTACAAACATAATCTGTTAATTAATTAATTAAATGCATCGTAATTAACTAATAAGGAAAGTAAATGTGAGTAGTAAGTTAAGTTAGAAAGTTGTGATTGTTGCTGTTGTTAAAAAGAAATATGTAAATCGACCGATGTTGTTATTTCAAGGCATTCATTCGATAGTTTTTATTATTTCATATCCAAAAAGAAAAGATTATACATTTTAAAAAATAAAAGTAAATTAATTTGAATATAATCAAAATGCTTCACTTTTTTCTTTTATAAAACAGCGCTAAATATCCTTTCTTTTTTTCAAATTTTTAAAATCATTTTAAATTTCAAAAATTTATAAAGAACAATAGTAGCTATTCAATTTTAAGAAAACAATTTTTATTTTATGCTTTAAGAGTAAATATTAGTGATCAGATAATGTTGTTGTTGCTGTTGTTGTTGCTGTTGTTATCGTTTTTGTTGTTGCTGTTGTTGTTGTTGTTGTTGTTGAATATAACGTATTAGTAAATTTCTCGTTATTCTTGCATACATATAATATTATGAAATTAATTGTTAAATGTTATCTAACAATTTGTTAAAATAATTTTATTTTATCAAGAAAATATTTTTAAGCAAAATTTTTGTTTTCAAATTTTGAATTAAAAGAAAAGAAAAAAACAAAGGTGTTAAAAAAGTGAATAAGTGTTGAAAAAAGTGCCAAAATTGGCCCCATAATTGACCTCACAATCATTAATGCAAATTAAACTATTATTCCTATTTATTGTTCCTTTATTGGATCATTATCATTTTTGCTATCAATAGTTGAAGATATGATTGGAGCAGTAGTGGTAGTAGGAATAAAAGAGATTGGTAATGTGGCTAAGGGAGTAGTAGTGACTGATGTTTTAACATTCTGAGATTTAGCGTGGGTTGATGGTGGAGTAGCAGCTCGAGAATTACTCGAGAAATCATCCTTACTGCAGTTATCCTGATCGGTGAGAGTGGAACCCCGATAGCAGAAGAACGCTTCATCAAAGTTTAATATTTGCGATGGTTTTCCAAGTATTTTCAATGCATTCGTATATTGAAAAATGCCACCACGCAGACCAATTTGTACAACCGCATAAACTGTTGATGTCGCATCCACTTTAGCATTTCGAATAGGATCTCTTAAAATTTTTAAAAAAAAATTAAACAAATTTTTTGCTTAACTAAATTTTTACTTTTCTTATTTATATCAATGAAAGAAGAATGAATGAAAGAACATACTGTTATGAATTTGGTAAAGATTAATTTCAATTTTACTATATATATAATTACGAAACTTATTGATGGAGAAAATTAATTACTGTTTTAGAAAAGAGATTAGTTCAAAAAAATTTGCACATTCAATTGAAAAATGATTGAAATTCGGAAACGATTTAATTTTCTCTTTTTTTCGTTTCAAAATTGACGTTACCTTTCTGAAATGAATGTCACATTGATTCGATAATATTTCGGCTGTACAACTTCTCCAGTCACTTGCACTTTACCGCAATCATTCATTTTCCTGAAATTATAACATCCGTTTTTTGACAATTAAATGACAAATGGATGGAACGAAATGGAATGAAAAAAATCATTCATTTTAATGCCTAAACTGATTAAATATTTTCGATGAAAAATACTATCAATTTAATAATTATTACTATCTTAATAAATAAATCAATAACCACCTAATATATTCCAATATTTCACTTTTTTCTTTTATTTAATAATTTTATATTTCAATTTTTAGGTTAAAAGTTTTATTGATCTTAGCAAATATTACTATTTTAATTATTACTATTTTACTAAATAAATTAATAATATATTCCACTATTTCATTTTTTTGTGTTATGATATGATATTCCATACTTAATTTTTTATGTTATAACAGTACTTAATTGATACTATCCTACTAAATAAATTAATAACCGATAGAGTGTTCCAATATTTCACTTTTACTTATAATTTATTCTTTGTGTTATAACAGTACTTAATAAATCAATAATTAAATTTTTGTCAACTTTTGACAAATTTTTTTTTTGCATATAACAATTAATTTTTTAATTAGTAAATTTAATTGTTATATGCAAAAAAAATATTGCCAGAAAGAGCAAAATAAATCGTGGAAGAATGATTAGAAAGTTTTTAGAATATAATATTTTGCATAAATATTTCTTCTCACTTTGGAGAGAAGGAGGAAGAGGGAGAGAAAAAGAAAGGAAAGGAGAAGAGAGAGAGAGAAAAGAAAAAGTTTTAATTCAAATTTAATATCGGCGAATTAGTAGAAGTGTCAAAACAAAATTTTTCTCAATGATATGCAACGAATTACTTCCCATTTTTTCTTTCGTTTAGAGGATGATTGATTATTGGTAATTTAACCCTAATTATTCGAAGTCAAAAATTAAATTAAAATTTCAGACAGTTTTCATTGTGTTATTTTTCTTGAATTGGATGGAAAAAAGAAATGAATCCTGAAAAAGAAAACGAATTTAATCAATCGTTTTTATTCAAATCTAAATGATTCGAAATATTTGGAGCTCAATTAGGACATGTTGAATTTGTTACACCCAAAAAAATATAAGTTTATTTTTGCTTTTTTTTCAACAAAAGAATTTTTTCATTTTATTGACAGATAAAGAAGACGAAAAAATGGCTGAAATGGCAAAGAGACGAATGGTCTATTTCGTTATTTGAATTTCTTTAAAAAAAATGCAAAAAAGTTTAATTAAATCGAATTAAATCGATGCTATCTATTAAATGATATTAATTTGTGCTGCAATATGTCGTGATGACAGATAGAGCGCAACAGAAGAAAGATTGATGTGAAATTTTTTTATGATTTAAATTAAACGTATAAAATTATTTTTAACAAAATTAAAAAAGTCGAAATTTCGGGTTTAAATGTTTCCATTTTAGAATGTAAAGATTAATTTAAGACGATTCATTTAACTTCCTTTTTTCCATTTTAATATATGACAAAAATCTTGTTTTATAAATTGTTAAATTTAGGATAAAATTAACAATTATCCTATTTCTATTTTATGCTTTAAGCTGTAAAAATCTAAATCGTTCCAGTAGCATTTGTAAGCATTTTATAAATTAAATGTTTATGTATTTGTGAATTAACAAAAACTTTATAATAAATTAATTTCTTATCAATTAATTAAACTACTAAAATTTGGGATGAATCATCTCATTATGCTTATTGCATTTTATAAATTAGTAAAAAAAAATTATTTTTTTAAATGAAATTAGGGAATTAATTTAAACAAATTCACGGAACTAATCCATTCCCAAAAATATCTTTTTGAATTTATCAAAAAATTAAAATTCGATGACAAAGAAAAGCAAAATATCAGTTTGGGAATACTGAAAGGCTTCGTAATTTGAAGTAAATTGACTTATTAAAATGATTTAGGATAAGAGATATTTCATTTACATTGAAAATCCAAATTGAAAAAAAGAGAAAATTTCATTTTCCTTTAAATCGATTACTACAAATGTGAATGAAAAAGATATAAACGTAAAAATTTTAATTTCAATAAATATTTCAATTCGAATCGCTTAAAGTTTTCATATTAGCCGATCATAAAGCATATGTCATTGGATATGATCATTCTGGATTTTTTGAAAGTTTTGAAAATTTTAATGATTAATTAACTAGTAATATTTTTAAACAGTGAAATGCAAAATGTCACATACAACTGTTTTCAGGATTTCCGTCTTTTTTCCTACTTCATCAAAGAAAATTGATACTATCATTTTATTATCAATGAATGGAAACTTTCATTCATCAAAATTTTGTGCACTATTTGAAATTATAATTCGTGCAGAAAAACGAGAAATTAAATTGAATATTGAAAATGATTCATTCTATAATCATTCTATAACGAAAAATGAGATTGGAATTTAAAAAATTAACCTATTCAAATTATTTTTTTTAATCTCTTCGATTTCTGTTAATTTTTTTATCCTTCCAATTTTGATGATAATTGTTTAAAAGATATAACAAAATATTTCATTAGTGATATAAACTTATTTATTGATTGCCGATATTTTTACTGCAGAATTTAAGTGAAACATTTTTACTTAAGGAAGAAAATCTTTCTTATGATCTTCGATACCAAAATTTCGCTTAATTTTATTTTTCTCTTTCTCTCTTTGATTATAACAAATTCTCTCAAGTTTGTTTGCTTTAATCCTACTTCAATTCTCTTAAGTAGCATTGTTTGTCATTGTCATAGTATTTTTGTATTTCCACTTTTTTCTTTAGAAATTTATCAATCATTTCTCAACAAATTTAAAAATCATTCTATAAGTTTGGATTTAATTTTTTCTCTCATCCCTCTTGCTCGCTCTCTCTCCCTCTCTTTCTCTTTATCTTCTCGAGATCAGCAGCATTTAGTTAAGTGAACTGATAATATTGAATTGAGAAAAAATCAATTAATGATTAATAAAGCTTATTCCTTCATTGCCTATATAGCTATAATAATATTCAGGGAAGCGGGATAAGCGGGGCGATGATAAAGGAAGACAGCTATGCTACAATATAATCATAATAATATAATCATTGAGTGATATACACCTGTGATGAAATTACAACCGCATATTATAGTTTTAGTTATATAGTGATATACAGTGATATTCAGTTGTGGTACGGTTGTAACTGTACAGTATGATATAGTTAGAACCGTATATTATAGTTGTAGTTACATAGTGCTATTCATTTACGGTCGTAATGCACAGTAACATTGACTTATGATTTTATGATAATATAACCATAAATCAATGCTTATTTAATGATAGTTGAATTGATCATTGAGCTCCCATTTTACATCATTTCGAAAACTTTTATTTCAAATGTAAAAAAAGTTATTGAGAAAAAGAAGAAACTTCATATGGAGTGTTATTAAATTTTGAAATCGAATTCATTCTCACAAATTAACTAATTCTTTCTTCCTCTTTCTGTCTTTTTTCTCTTTCTCTCTTTCTCTCTCACATTAATCTTTCATCAAAAATTAGGAATAAAAATTTTTCGAATAATTTTACAAAAAAAACTTAGTCATCATTTTAACGAAAGAAAAAGAAATTTAATTATCGGTTGGTTCATTGTTAAAAAACAAACAATGCAAAATTAGGATTAATTCAAAATTGTCTTCTCTCTCTTCTCTCTCCCAATAAATACTCTTTCTTCCCTTTTTTATAACAATTAAATTTCAATTAATTAAAAAATTTAAAGCTTTTTTTTCTTCGAAGAAAACAAAAGTGCTTCCAACAAAATGTTTCATTTTTATTTATTAAATTTTAAAACTAACCAAGCATTTTCAAACTTTTTAACATACTGATAGTGTTAAATGAAGAGGATTGAATAAAAAGGCTTGATAAGATCATATGATCTAAAAGATCAGTGATGTGAAAAAGAAAAAGAGAAAAAAATGATAGAGAAATTATTGATGATGATACATTCTTATGGAAGGAATTGTATAATAGCAATTTATTTACGAATTTTTTAATGTTACTTACAATGAATCGTTATACTCAAAATTAATCATTAAATGATTATAACTGATAAGAAAATAAATTATTTTCTTATTCGATATAGAAATTAAATTTGAAAATATTACGTGTAGAATTTCCATTATTTTTCTACCACTAAAAAAATTTATACAGAAAAATTTAGGATGTAAAATGATAGTTGCTGAAGAAATCAATTATTTTACCAATTATTTATCAAAAAATATCCCATAAAAGTAATAATAGGATAATAAAATTTGAAATGAGTGCTGGCAAGAGGATTGAGGAATGTGAATAAGTGGGTAGATATAAGGTGCAAATATAAGTACAAGAAGAATTGAATTATTGTTAAAGATGCTAATTTTATATTTAGCCTTCTCTATATCTCTCTGTTTCGGTAAATAATTTATCAAAATGAATTTATGAGAACTATTGGTAGAAAAGATGTTATTTCAACCTGAACAATGAATTTAGTCAGAGCCTTAAATAATTTAGTCACAGCCTTAAACATCAATGACTAATTAGTTTTACTGAAAAATGTAATGATAAGAGATAAAATATTTCTAAATTTTCAATTGATTAATTTATTATAGGTTGCACTGAGAAATGTTTTTTAGGCTTATTCTAAAATATTTCTAAGTAAACAAATATTTCAGAAATGTTAAATATCCCACTGTAAATATTATATATATGTGATTATTTATTTATAAGGCTGTTAAAAATGAAAAAAAAAAGATAAATTTGCTAGAAGTTAAATTGATAATATATTTCTAAAATAATCTTTTAAAAAAACGACATACTTTTCAGATTTCGAACCACCACAAATTAGCCAATGTTTATTGATGAAACGTAAAGATGCAAGGACACTATTTCGCATAATAGCATTCCATTTTGGTACTTTTTGAATACGTTCAAGTGATGCATTGGGATAATCCACCTGAAATCGTACCACACGAACAGCTGGTACTGTTTCTTGAATTGCAGCAGTTTCATGTATTGTTGTTATTAGCAATATATAGCTGCCAATAATATTAGCCAAAAAATATCGTCGATTAGAGAAGATTAATAAGTGATATATCATCATCATCATCGTCATTATCGTTACCATCACAATCGATTTGTTACGATTTATTAATTCGTTAGTATTGTTACTTGCTGCTGCTGCTGCTATTATCACTGCTACGGCTACTGCTATTACTACTACTACAATATGACCAATCAGTAATAATAGTTGTTGTTGTTGTTGTAGTAATAGAAAATATTACTACTACTACTTTTAATGTTATTATGTAACAATAACAATCTCCACCCATTCTTCACATTCTATTCACAAATAAAAGATAAAAATTTTAACGAAATGATTGAATTAATTGAATGATAAAAAGAATGGAAGAGAGAGAAAGAAAGATAATATATAATGAGAGTGTATGGAAATAAATCTTCCAATTCAAGATTTCCCTAATTCACTACTACTTTTTTTTCCTGAAATTCTTTCGGTGATCCATTAATTGCGAACATTCTGTTCATCCAAATATTGCTGGCATCATTTCGAATTGTTATTTCATGTCATAGATGTTGTTGACCTGAATATTACTATTTTCTTGTTTAATCTTCTTATTTCACCATCTCGTCTAACTACTATCATCACTATTCATTCTTCTACTCTTATTCTCTATCAAACATGAAAAATTAAAATAATTTTATAAATGGGAAAAAAAAATTTTAATTTCTGTGAATGATTAAAAAAATGCATGTTGTTATTTATATATAACAAAATTGAAAAATTAGTGCAATTATTGCTGTTTGATAATTAACCGATTTAAATTTTTATCTTTTATTTCTTATCAGATGAGATTCAGTTAATGATTAATTGATTATTGCATTCCATTACAATATGAACTTACATTTGTGAAAATTTCTACAGCAATATAATATATGAGAAGAATTATTATCAATATTATTGATACTAATATTATTATTATCATTATTGATTAAAAAATAATGAAAAAAGAGAATAATTAAAATTGATGAAAAAGAAATTCATTTCATTTCACTTATAAAAATGAATTTTAAATTACAATTAAAATTTTTGCTTTGCCATTTTTTAAAAATATTATAATAATATTTATAATATAGACAATGTAATTCATTTAAAATAATTGCCACATTTTCAAATGAATGAATAAATATTTTAAGAACAAAAAAAATTGCAAAAAGTAAAAGAAAAAAGAAAAATAATTAATTATAACAACAATTATTAATATCATTTTAAAAATTAAAAAATTGAAAATTCAACAATAAAATTATTCAATAGAATGTTTGATTTAAAAGAACGCAAAAGAAAATAAAATCACTTGCAAAATTTTAGTCCATTCTTTCCAGCAAATCAATAAAATGAATTAAATTTTTTCAACAGTTAGATTATACTATCATATTTTAGTAGCAAGATTTTTGTTGAATGAATTCATCAACATTTTTGATCATTTTTCGTAGAAAAGAAAATGCTAACAATATTTTAAGTTGAACCTTTAGCCTTTTTTTATTATAATATAGTTATTTTTTTATTATTATAATATAGTAATCCAAATTATTCCAAATTCTTTTTCGCAGCTTCACTTGTTTTAAAAAAGAATTTATTTGATTGAATTTTATTGCTTACATACTTTGAGAAAGATAATGTAAATAAAAGATTTTGTTGAAGAAAAAATTTGGAATTACTTTTTTCTTAATCAAAATAAAGCATTTAATTCTTCCTGCCAGCCAGAAAAACAAGAAAAATGGACGATTGTAAAAGTTTACTTTTCCTTTCTTTTTACTCAAAATAAATTAAAAATTATACTTTGAAGATATCTTTTTTGTTTATAAAATTTTAGAGTAAACAAAGATATTCATTCATTTAGTCAACAACAGTTCGAATGAATACTTTTTGAGCAAATAGAAATGATATGACAAGCTATCAGAAAATTGATAATTCGGTTAAAACTATTAAATTATAAATCGATAATGTTAATGATAGTACGAAGAATTAATAAGTTTAATTTGCGGTTGAAATCAAAAAATATGAAAGAAACAAATTATAATTTGATAACAGCAAATTTGATAATTTGATAATTTGATGATAGCAAATTTGATAATTTGATAATTTTTTGATCGAATTGAATAATTCGAATAGCTCTGCTAATTTTTTTTCTTATAGCCTATTTTCTTCGAAATTATTTTATTATTCTCTCTGTGCTGTAAATAAAACATTTTATGAACTTCTTCAAATTTTGGGAGAGGAAGTAGGAGAGAAAGAAGATAAGAGAAAGTAAGCTTTTAAGTAATTACTTGGAAGCAAAAACATCGACGATGTAATTTGAAGCAAGTTGGGAATTAAAGAAAGCTGAAAAGTTTTTCCATTCTTTTTTCGCTATCTTTAAGATTTGTGTTATTCTATGAAATAGTTTTAATTAGATTAGTTGCTTGTATTATTTCTATCAGTTGTAATAAAACTACCGATAGAAGTAATAAATTTGATGTAAAAATTTCAATTCCGATCTTATATAGAGGATGGGTACATAGCTTGTATTAAATGAATTTCTGATATAATAATTTGTGAAATGTTTAATTTTAGTATTCATTTTGAAAAATTGGAATACTCAAATAAAAATACTAACAATATTTGCATGATAAGATAATATGTATGAGTTTGATTGATTTGAGAAAGTTTTCTTAATTTATCAAAAAAGAAATTAAAGAATAACTTATTAATATCTATTAATAGCAAATATTGCAAACCTATTTTCTTCATTTTTTTTTAAAATTCCTTAAAATAATTTTCAGGACAGTATAAAACTAATATTTTGGAGTTTTCGTTTATTTCTAAATTAGCATTGTGCTATACATATCCTTCTTCTTCTTCTTCTTTCTTAATTTTTAAATTTATCTTATTTGTATTTAAAATGTCATTTGCATATTTGCAAATTTGGAAGTTTTGCTGACATTTTTTAACGATGAAATTTTAAATTAGTATTTATTGCATAAACTGGCACAATTTTCTGTCATTTGCAAACTCTGATTAATTAAAATTACGACGATTTAAATGAATGAAAAATAAAAATACGAATGAGTTCAGGCAGCATATTTTTGCTATTCTAACAATACTTCGATATTTGATACTTTCATTTCAGTCAGGAAATTTTATTTAATCTATATATCTGTATTTTCCGTGTGCTGTCATTAAATGAGCTTTTGATACATTGAAGAACTGGACAGTTAATAGATCAGAACTACTAAATATACTGCAATACATTTCCGGATATGAAAATAATTGTTATGCACTTAAATGGATGAATTATTTGAATTTCTAATTTGTTGTAACATTTAAATCAAATATATTCAACATGACATATTTATATGTCAAAATGAATTTTAAAAAGTAATTACTGATGATACGATGAACAATGTTCAAAAGGCGAAATTGAAGCGTCTTATTCTGTTTGATCTCAGTTTTCTGCTCACTTATTAAAACTTCCTACATTTTCCCGCACTCTTTTACAACTATTTTCTTCTTTTTATTTTAACCAAACCTCTGTAATACATTGCACTTTTCTGTTCAAATTTAACTAAACTTTCAATGATTAAATTTTACGATAAGATAAGCCCATTAAAATGTCCGTTTTCGCTATATTTCTCCTGAAATTTTTAAATTGAATGAAAATATTTCTTATTGAAAGTTCGTTTTAAAACAGTAATAAAGAGACGATGAATGAATGAATGAATGAATGGGTGAATGAATGAATAAATGAATGAAATGAATGAATGAGTGAATGAATAAATGAATGAATGAAATATTGGAAATGAAAACAGATTATTCTGATGAATGAAAAACGTATAGTATTAAGCAATTATCAATGAAAAATTTTTTCCCATCTCTTTTATTTTTGCTTAAATTCGTGTAAATTTCTTTTCGCAAGAAATTAAAAAATGTTAGAAAATTTGATGAACGATTGATTGCGTGAAATGTTTTTGGTGGAACGAATTATTCACTTAATTGAATTACTTTAATTTGTGATAATGAAGAAAAGATTTTTATAATTCAGTCATATTTATTGTAAATTTAATGCTAATCAATTTTTGATATATTTTATGAAAAAAATAGTAAAATTCTTATAAACTTTACCAAATTCTTCAATTACTTTAAGTGTTTGCTTTTTATTAATTATGCAATACAATATTTGAGAATAAGATTTGATAACAGAGATCATCATGTTATCCGAGATAATTCCGTAGTAAATAATAATCTGCGTATATATCATAATACATTAATAATATGCCGCATTCCGGTTACGGAAATTGTCGAAATTTAATTTTGATTATCATTTAAATATTTCTAATAAATATGTTGAAGATAAGTCATTTTGCTTTTCCTGTAACAAAAATTTTGCGGCTTAAGAGAAAATTTCTTCATTATTTCTCGACTAACTTAAATGCTGCAAATTATTACACTTAGCATTACTTATGCTAGACAAAGCATTAAAGCAGCCTAAGTTGACATTTGACCCTATTTGAACCTCACAATCGTATTAGAGCTTTAGAAGAAATAATGTTATTTCGAATAAAATCATTCGTTCAAAAATTAAATAATTAATTTGTAGTATTACAGCATATTTTATTACAATTTGTTGCATTTTGATAAATTTGGATGATTGTTGGTGCTCGATTTACTAACACAGCTAGACAAAGCACAGCTGGTGATAAGGTATAAATTTTGATAACATGAAATAACTATAATATGAACCTAATTATTTCCTTGGCTTATCATAAAAGTGATATTGAAATATTTTTAAAAGGAATATTGCTCAAAATTTTTCTTGGAATTATAAATAATTCAGACGATACTTCGCATTTGATAAAAAATATATCGAATGATTTTGATTTTATTAGTTATAGATAAAGTCGTAATTAATAGCAAATTATAAATTAAAATTTTAGTTTTTTAAACTTGACGAGAAGAGTGGAAATGTTTATTATTAAGAGATTTATTCCGTATTTTTCAAGTTTTATGGCATCATTTTTTATTACTATTTTCTTCTGTCTATTTTACGGAAAAAAACGGAAAAATTCTTTTTTATATTTTACAGAAAAAATCCGGAAAATTACCAAAAAAGAATTCGACATCATGTCAAACTTTTATATCCGTCAAATCAAAAAATGATCGACCCATGTCACATTCATCATGCAACGAACAAAACAGTAATCAATTTTCCGTTTCCGCATTTCAAACAATACATTACGGCTCTCTAACCAATCTTCATTACATCGGAGTATGCATGAATTTTTCATTTTTAATTTTTCTATTATCAAATAAATCGAAAGATATTAACCTTTTCAAGTGATCAGACCGCAAAATTACCTTTACATATTTCATAAATTTCATTTTTAGATATTTAACTTTTCATCATTTCCTTTTATTCTCTAATATTTCAGATTAACAAATGGGGTTTAATCTGTCAACAAAGTTTTGCTTTAAAAGTAACATGGCGTAAATTATGCAAAATACCGCATTCCGCATGCCGTAATATCAATTCTATTATGGAGGAAGTCTTTAATCGTCTAAATGAGGTACTCATTAGATATCATTACTTCCTTTTTATCTTTTTATCTTTTCTTATCAAATTCTTTCAAAAAAAAAGTTTAACAAAAGCATTTAAAAGTCTAAAAATCATTTAAAAGTCTTACAAAATTTTTCGTTTTCTTCAAATTTTTTCATCATTTTAAATGAGAAATTTGCAGAAGAATAAGACACTTCGTGATATCTTTTACAATGCGGCATTTGTTAATGGTATGGCGGAACGTCGTACAATTGCAACATTGCATGATCATTCACATTTTTTCATCTCGTTAATTAGTCAAATTATCAAATCATTGGATGTGGAATCTGATGATATCTTCAAACATATTAATAAAATTGGTTTAATCTTAATTTATTAATTTATAATTGAAAAAGAGAATAACGATAAAAATTTGAAATTTGCTAAATCGGAAATTATATTTTATTCATTGCTATATTAATTTTTGCTTTAGGTTTATGTCATTTTCATTTAACAAAATATGGTTTTCAACAAAAACTTTGGGAAAAATTGGGTGAAGAATTGATCGATGTATTGGTTGTACAGGTCAATTTGAATTTTTAATTTTTATTTTATTATATATTTCAACCAAAGATTGAATTCGGTTTCTTAGCAGCAATTTGAAAATGAGATCAAAATTTATTTTTGTAAGAAATATTTACTATGAATTCATTAACAGAAATGGAAAAAATGTGACCCGAATATTACATAAAATTTTCATCTCATACTAAGTTTGTTTACCAACTTCATTTATTTACGTTTTCCAGTTTAAATAAATTATGTATATATTTTATTGATATTATGTGAAGATTAGCATTCCAACGTATCAGCGATGATGCAAACTTCAATTATTCTTTTACTTTACAGAATTATTTCTATCGCTTTTTAACTCAGTTTAAAAATTAGATGCTTTGAAATGAACAAAATTATAAAATCAAAGTGATGAATTTTTGTCAAAATTTAGAATTGTGTTCGTAGTTTTCCTGGTTCATGTCGCGCATGGACGATACTAATCTCCAATCTTATCGATCATCTATCTGCAGCTACAAGAAATTCATATTCTGTTTGTGATGGCACAAAATCACAATATCGTTCAAAATTGACTTCACCTGCTATCTATCTCAAATCAATATCAAATTCACAACAAAATTGAAGTCATAACCTCATATTCAACGTTGTTGAAATTGTGAATGAATTATGAAATGACCTGAAAAATAAGTAAAGCAAGAATAATTTTAAATTATGATAATCGGATATGGTAAATATCAATCAATAATGATTCCTGAAATTCTACCATAAATTTTGATCAGTTTATAAGCGAAGGATAACATATATAATTTATATCTTATAAATTGAAATAAAGATTTGTATAATTCCAAGAATCCAATAATCAACTTAATGAATATCATCCATAAGCTTTAAATACGCAATCAGACGTAATTTTGATCGAAACTTTATAATCATTCTATACTAATTATTCATCTAAATTACAAATTAAATTAACTATTTCTTTCCTTAATTCGACAAATTTCTTTTCTCATTTTTTTTCTCAATTTTAATTTTGTTCTCTTTCAGTTCAATTTCTGAACGTTTATATTATAAAGTGAAGTGTGTTGTGAATTTTGATTATTGCATTGCATTATAATTTCAGTTTTGCTTTTTTCAATGGTAATTTGTAAAAATAAGTGTCGAAAGTTTTTTATTGCTTCAAAAATGCTTAACAAACAAAAATTTAAATTAATTAAAACTGTTATAATATTTTTTGTATTCATTAGAGATAGTTCATTGTTGTATCATTTTATGCGATCAATTATCATTATGACAAATAATGAATGTTTTCTTTTTCGATGAAAAGTTTTACATCATATGTCAAAGGTCATTTCAAAATATTTGTACAAAAACAAAGTAGAGGATTGTAATAATACAAGCAAATGACTAGAAAAAGGGAAGAAAATGTCACCAATGAATTATTGTTATCATTTCAACCTGACAGTATCATTTATTAGTCATAATAAATTATAATTATAAAAAGTAAAAAAAAATTCATCAATGTTTATATTCCTCAAACGAACAGCAAATGATAATATGATAATAGATATAATATTATAGTATAATGAGCACTCAAAAATGTATTTGAGCATCGTTTTCTTAATAATTGCACCAAAAAGGTATTTCAAATTGGAAGATTTTCACTTATTTTTTGATTAATAAAATTCATCTTTTTGAAAAAAATGAAATAAAAGAAACGAATTATTGTAAATATAATTGAATTGAATCTATGAAATACTTAGAAAATATATATTGAAATTAAAAATATATTGATAAAATTTTTCAACTATATTTCTCGTTCTTTTATCAAAATTAAATATCAGATAGTTTATACATAGATTAATTGCTATTAGAAGAAAAAAATAAACAAGTGCAATTGCATGCATATTCTATATGAATTTATATAAATAACACATAAATTCGAAATCCCTGGAAAATTTTATTCAACTATCTAAAAGTTTGCCATTACATAAATTTTTTATAATTAACGAATAATCAACTATGCATTTTAGCAATCATCCAAATGTCAAAAAAAGAAAATTTATATATACAACCGGAAAAGATAATAGAAAAGATTATTCAACAGAACATAAATCGAACATATAAAATTGCATAATCATCGAAAAAATATTTCAAGATTGCATTGCTGTACGTGGTGGTGATGGTGTTAAACCAAGAAACTGATATCTTTTCCGTCTAAAATATCATAATCTTTATTATCAAATAAACGATTAAAAAATGAATTGAAAAAATGAAATTGCTTAAAAAGATAGGAAACATATCCAACATGCTTGTCATTTTGAAATTATCAGTGAACGTCTAAATTGTTTTACTTAAGTGACAAGAAAAAATATCCTTCAGTTAACCCTCTAAGGCGAGATATTAATATCAGTCATAAATTTAATGTTTCTGATATTCTCAAAATTAATTTAAGGAATCAGGAATGATGTAATGGACAATATGAATTTAATTTAAGATTTATCACGTAAACTATAATTTAGCGTATAGCTCAAATTTAAAATTATAGTTAAGGAATAAATAATTAAAAATTGAAATGAAGAATCAAATAACCTTAAATTAAGTACACGCCATTTGGAATCTTCTGTAACTTGACTTCCCCCATCCGATGGTGATGTTCCTTCGATCCCGTTATTAAGCAAATGTTTTTCACTCGTACTTCTCTTAACTGATCTTCCTGTCTCATCAATGCTTTCGGTTTGCCTAACTATTTCAGGATGTCGTTCCGAATTCTTCCATGTTGACTAAATAAATAGTCAATAAAATTAATGATTAGCACTTGCGAAATATTATCCTTATTAAATCGTTTAGTTTAGTTAAATTAAAAAAAAAATTTTGAAAATAATAACCTCATTAGTTGAGAACATTTCTTGACATATAGATCGTCTCCGCAAACGTCGCTGTCTTCGTAGTTCTTTTTCCTGATCAGTATTGCTGTTAGTACTTGTCTGAAATAATAAATTAAAAAGACAATGAACAATTTTATTTAAATCGTCTTATTTTATTTTATTTTACGATAAAAAGAATTAGAGAATAAAGAAATTGTTACTAAAAGTAATAATTATAATATGTTATGATTTAAATGGAAATTTTACTACTTCTATCAAAATACTAACCTTAAAATCATTTAAGTTTGTAGCAGTTTCACTATTCTTGTCACTATTAACATTATGATTATCAGTGCTTAATTGTGTAGCAAAACGTTGAAATTGTATTGAAATTGCATTATTATCTAATGAAAAGCGTTTGGATCTTTCTGGACGATGAGAAATATTTGACGATGATGGAGAGGTATTACCACCAGCGCCACTACTATTCGTAAATGAATTGAATGTCTGAAAGATAACGTCAAATAAAATCCGTATTGTAAGGATAAATCTGCAAGAAATTGACTGGCTAATTTCGATAAAAGATAGAACATTTCATCCAGCTATATTATATAATGGATAAGATGATCAAAACGTTAACAGATATAAAAATATAACATTTCGCAGTCTTCAAAATTCATCTATTTATTTTAGACCACTTCTGAATCTGACCAAGATGCATCTGTTACTTCTTGATATTAATTCTGGATTTATGCAATATTCACCTGTTAATTTTAACTAATTCAATAATGAGCTTACATTTACAAGATTCTTGAAATGCATCATTAATGAAGTAGATGCTGATTGCACAGTTGAACTTGTTGGTGCCATTGCATGTAACAATGGTTGAAAGGTTGTTTTAGTTGGTGTGATAGTTTGAGGAGAGGTAAATAATGTTCGGGTAACAGGAGGAGTTACGGTTATTTGTGGTGATACTGATACCGAAGGTAGCGCGGATACTACGGTTGATTTGGGGGTTGATATTGCTTTGAATAAACGAATGTTGTATGGAAGCACATTGGAACTTGAGGAAATCAATATTTGTTTGCCATTTTTTGCATCATTAGTAGCACTAGTAGTAGTAATAGAAGCAGCAGCAGTAGTAGCAGTAGTAGTAGTGGTAGTAGTGGTAGTAGTGGTTGCGGTAGTAGTATGTATATTAGATCGTGCTACAATAAAAATAAACTGAAAAATATTGATTTGAAAATTTAAAATTTTATTGGCTCCATTTCTAAATAATCTTTATTTCATTCTCCTTTTATAATTGTACAAAAAGTGCTGTAGCATTTTGAAAGAATTTAAAATTAAAGTCAAAGTTAAAGATAAATTTCGAAAACAACTTAAATTTCAAAAATAAAACGAAATATGAACATACAAAATGGTGGAACAGCTGCTGAACAATGCTTTCCAGTCAGCGGTGAGTATTTACTTCCACTATTATCAGATTTTTCGATGCGCAAACAATCAACATTTGCTGCTGCTTCACCATCGCCATAAGATTCATCGAATGAGCCTGGAAAAAGAAAAAATGGGCAAAGAAATAAATAAATAGAACAGAGATTCAAATTATGAAATTGTTTCTAAAAAATTAAAAAAGCAAAATTGAAAAACTTCTCTTCCTATAAAAATTACACTCTTTTCTCATTAATTTAGTTGTCGTTACATTCTTGCAAAAGAAAAGAGTGAAATATCCTTCGGCGAAAATTTTTTGATTTAACCAGAAAGCAGCAAATATTCAGAAATAATTGGGTAAAGAATGTAAGAGCACTTCTGGAATTAAGCATTCCATAAACATATATATTACCGTGTTTACAAACAAAGACCATTTCATTTTTTACTATTTTTAAATAACGGAACAGATTATTATTATTCATTCGCTTTCTTTTTGCCCACTTCTTGTCATCATTCAATTCGTATCAACCGGAATCAGAATCAAGGATTTCTGGGACAATATACTTCGTATAAAATCATGCAAATGTCAGGCAAAATTGATAATTATTCTATAGAAATTTATCGCTATGATTAATTCGAGATTGAACCAATTTATGATGAAAAAGATAATTATCAATTATATTTGATGGGGTAGAAAAATTAAAGAAATTTTTCTAAATTGATGGACTCGAATATTTAAAACTAATAAGATTTAATTTTGCCTTTATGATTTGTAAAATCAATTATATTTTCCTACACCTTTGTTAAAACGGTTAATGTTAAATTCTTTATTAATGAGGTAATAATTCCGGATAAATAAGCATACCGTGCCATCGACTAATAATTGTTGGTGCTTTCAAATGACTGCTAATACCGGTTTCGGAATCCGCTTGAGCATATGTTTGCTCAATCGCTGACGGTGCATCAGTCATTTTTTTGCCATATCTCTTGCCGCTCGAAAGCTATAAAAATTCTTATGAAATTTTGAAAATTTTTAGAAAAGAAAAATTTCCAAAGATTTGCATATAAACATTTGCTAATCATTTCTTTTAAAGAAAGTTAAAAGATATTTTCAATTAAACTAACACATTGAAATAGAATAGAGTGATAAAAAAATAATTAAGGAAATGATAGTAACAAGGCAATATCTTTTATAGATTTTCGAGAAAGCAATATCTTTAATATTTTGTAAATTCTTATGTATTGCTAATAATAGTTGAAGATATTGAATAATCGGATCAATTATTTATTATGGTCTAAGATTGCTGATGATAGTAGTGGACTAGAACAGTGAACTGGACTAGTATTATAAAAATTGAAAATTAATTCAAAAAAATAATTTTAGAAAAAATTCATCTTACTACAAGATAATGTATAAAAAACGATAAAGGAAAGTGATCAAATATTATTTTATGCGTATAGAATAAAATCTGCATAATAAGAAGGCAATTTATAGCTAACATAGGTCATAGATTAATGATTCACACTCATTAAAAAAGCAATCTCAGCATATCTGTGGTACTAAATAGGTCCGAATAAAACATAATAAGAATGTAAAATAAATTAAGCATTATTATTTGAAAAGTAAAATTCTCACCTCAATAAATAAACAAATTAATGAAATTAAACCTAATTACTACTTTAAATATTATTTTTGTTGGAAAAAATTGCAAGCTTATATTTGCAATTTTGAAATTTAAAAATTTTTATTCATTAATAAATTTAAGATTAAAAAATTTTCTGTTCTTTTCATTAAATTAGAATTACAAAAAAAAGCACAGAAAAAGAAAGATAACTTTGACAAACACATAAAACATAAAATTAGTCAGCCACTAAGCAATTTCTTTCTAATTGACACCAAAAGCGACAGAGAAACTACAAAATATAAAATTAAAAAATTTTTGAACTTTTTTTAAACATTTAACAAACAAAAAAAAGGTAAAATAAAATCGAAGAAAGAAAAACGCACTCAAAAATCGATGAAAAAACCTTGCTGTGTAGAAGATTGAATGATCGCTAGAATGAATGAACTGATACTTATGGAATTGATACTTCCATAATTGATTGAGATATAATAAGAATGAAAATGTATAGTAAATATATGTATGATAATAACATATAAACATAATATTCCGGATTCCGGAATATTATCGATATTTAATATAGTATGGCAAGAGAAGAACATCTTAATGATTTCTTCTCCTTCTTAATTTAAATTCTTTCCTTTCTTCAATTCCCTGAAAGTTTTACAATTGAATAATTCAAACAATTACCGTTAATGAACGATTGCTCTTTAAACTTTTCTCATTGGTATTAGGCGGTACTGTCTTATTTCGTTTTTGGTGTGTTCGATTTGATTTTTCCTGGCATCCAGTTGTTTTTGAGGCATTAAGTGGTATTTGAAATGTTACCTGTATATAATTTTCATTATTTGCAAAGAATCAAAATTTTCATTTTGGTTTAATATCAAATCATTTCAAACAATTCTCTTCTACATATTACTTTAGAGAATTTGCATAAATTTTTTAAAGCCGCTTTCATCCCATTCAACCTTGTCTAATCTATATTTCTTATTCTCAACTTATTTTCATAACGATTTATCACATGAGAAATTTTATGTAACATTTAGATGAGTCTGCAAGATTTAAAATCTTGCAATCTAGAGATTTAACATCTTGCTATCTAGATTTAAACAAGATTTTCATAATGGCTTCATAATTAGATTCATTAAATTACGCGCTATTGAGAGTCTAAATGTTGAATTTTTTAAGCGCCTTTCATAATACGCTTAATATCGCTTCTTCAGATGATCTAAAGATAAAAATTCTATTACAACTTTTCATTTATTTAGATATTAAATAAGGTAAAAAAAAAACCTCGACATCACCGAACTTCTTTTCTTCATTATCAACTGATGTTTCAATTCGTAGCTTACTGAATACATCAGCACCACTAGTTGATGCCGCAGCAGCTAACCTTGCATTTACTGCATCGATCACATCAAAATTCACGGCACTATATTTAGGCCTAAAAAATCAAAAAAAAATATGTTGTGAGATTAACGATTAACCGATTGTTTTTTTCTTGTTTTCACAGTATTAAAATATATTTTAAATTGAAGGAAAAATGGACCAAAGGCATAAAATATGGAAAAGATGAGAAAAGACATTAATAAAAGATTTGGCAACAAAATCTGAATGATTTCATATTCTTAAAAAAATTTTTTTTTGATTATTTAGAAATTAAATTTAAAATTTGAAATTTGACGTACCTCATGAATTCTTGCCGTTTATATTTAGGTTTATCGTGTGTTCCTTTTTCTGCAGTAGAAGAATGCTTGATATGATGACCAGTATGATCATGGTCATCTTCCTCTTCACCCATCGTAATTGGTGCTTGAGTATCCAATCCTCTGAATTTAAATACATAATCAATTATCGTTGTCTAACAATTAATTTCTTCTTAATTTAAATTAAGATTTTGCTCCGTCTAATGAATGATTCATGTAATTATTAAAAAAAGAAAATGATTCATGACGAGAATCTAAAAATTCAATAAATTGGTATTAATTTCAAGCATAATAAGAGAGTTTCAGTTCTCCTGAAATCTGATAATTTTTGCTGGTTAATTGAATTTTTTTTTCTTAAACCCTATAACATTGGTATTTTCAATTATTTGACAATTATATAAAACGATTTGAGCAAAAGATATTTGAGAAATGTTAGATAGATATCAGTGAAATAATATGGCAATAATAGATAAAAGTGGCTGATCAGAGTGTGTGAATTTAACTGATTGCTGAACTATATACTGATTAATTTTCCAATTTATTACATCACATTATCAGTACCACAAAATATGCTACCTGATAAGATAGTGAAAAATGAAAAAAAAAGCTATATGGTAAAAAAGGAAAAAATTTGCGGTGTGATAAGATAATAATACATTTAAGATGTGAATTTAGACAATAAGTTTGCTGAGTAATATAAAAGTATCTCTTTGCATCTGACACTTATATGATCTGACACTTTTGATGAGAAGATGAACTGGAAAACGGTTTTTTTTACCTGTTTTTATCCTCTATTAAACGATCTTTCATTGCAGTTGTATGTGAACGATTTCGTGTTGGAATTGTACCTAAAAATAGCACATACAATTTTATTTGTACTTAGAAATTTTGAAAAAGCATCCTGAAATTATAGTTTATAAAAAAATTTCTTTTTCTCAATATATACAGCAAAATATCATTTATTTTGAAACAATGAGCTAATTAATTAGGATAAAGAAGAATTTCATTTGAAATGATTTTATGAAATAGAAAGAATGAGTTTAAAAATTTAAAACAAAGTGCTATATTTTTCTTTTCAAGCGAAAAAATTATGGCTCTAAATTTCCGAAATTGAATTTTATTTAAATATAATAATAATAATGAACCGACCATTCAAGCGAACTTTTGAGCCAAGATTTTCATAATTAATTTCCCAATCATACGGTTCTTCAGTATTAATACCATGACTAAAAATATACAACAGAGCTAATGACAGGGCTAATTACTTGTCAATTATTTAAAAAATCTTCAAACAATGCCAAATTTCTACCGAGCAATAATATTCTGCAGATTAGTTTCTAATAATTCGTAACTAGGTTCATCCGGATAACCAAGTGTTTTCAGATATGCCGCAAAATCATGCAATTCTCTTGGACAACCATTTAACAAAACATTTAAATTCATTTCTTCCTTCATTCGACCCACTTCATCCTTATCCTAAAATATTCAATTAATTATTCAATAACTTTACAATTTTACGGATCAGAATTTAATGTCATAATTTCATTATTAGCACAAATTTTCATATTGTTTTTTATTTTTAAATTTCATTCTTATCATTGATATTTCTTATTCAATTATTTACTTCATTTTTATTCATTTCATTATATTTACAAAAAAAAGGTTATAATAAGAAGTTATAATCATTTCAGGTATTCATTAAATTTAATATCAAATTACTACCGAGCAATAATATTTTATAGATTATTTTCTAATAATCCGGAATTGATTTCAACCGGATAATTAAATGTTTTCAGATACGCCGCAAAATTATGCAATTCAGATTATTTGGTATTTCAGATTATTCCAAAATATTAATTTACATAACTAATTATTTTTGCAAATAAATAATTCTCTCTCAATATAATATTATAAATAGCTTTTACTCATTTTTATCTCTTTCCATCAAAGCCATTTTTGATTGAGCAGAAAAGAGAGAGAGAGAGAGAAAGAAGTAAAAAAAGGGAAATATGAAGCTTAAATAAACTTTATTATTACGCGAATAACATCTGTTCTAAAGAGGATTATCTGCTATTCATTTTTCATTTTTGTTGAGTTAATCACTTTTGATGTAATTTCAGTTAGCAATAATTACTATAAGTCGGAAGATTTATTATAAGCTAATAATATTTGAGGATGTTATTCGTATAAAAATTATCAGAAATAAGAAGTAATAATAAATATTCTAAATGTTGAAACCGTTACTATTAATAGTACGAACCTATTAATTATTTAAACAATTCATCTAATTTAAAATATGTATGTATCATTTTAATTAATAGAGAAAAGAGATATTGCATTCATTAATGTTGTAAATATTATCCATTTCTTATTAAATCTTATTACAATTAATATATAATTGAAATTTAAATAAAATTAAATTTAATTTTATTAAAAAAGGAAAAGAGGAAAATAAACAAATAAAAATGATAGAAAATATTATTTGTTCCCCATTTTTCATATTTATAATTCTATCATAAAATGATATTTCATTACTGCAACTTTTTTTTTCGTTTTATCTTTTATCATCTCTTATCATATAACATATTGTTTATATGAGATGGATGATGGTTTCATATTATCATCTGATCTAATCATTTCAGATCAGCTGATTCTAAATCAAAGATTAATTTCACAAACATAAAGATTATCATTGAAATAAATTTATTTATAAAACTTTTAACTCGAAAATTATTTGTTTTTTTCTTTTTAAACAGATCAATCTATTTGTAATTAACATTATCTAATAATTATAAGAAAAAGAAATGGGTTTTTTCAAATTTAATTTTTGAAGAAAATTTATTAAAATGTAAAAAAGAAAATTTGAAAGAAAAAAGTGAAGAATTGATGAATGAAAAATTGTCTGAGAAACTTTATGAACAGCTGTATTTTCTTTCTTTCTTTCTTTTCTCTCTCACTCGCTCTCTCTCTCTCTCTCTCTCTCTCTCTTGAACTGAACAGATTTTTTTCACTCGAAATTTGAAAATTTTTAAAATGAAGGGAACAAAAATGATATTTCAACAATGTTAACAGTTAATTTAGAGAGAAAAGAAGAAAAGATAGGAAGTTTTATTGAAATTAATAGGCAACAAAACATAACACAAATTTATATATTCAAAAATAAAAAGAAAGAAAATATAAAAAAAGAGGAAAAACTCTACAAAGGAAAAGAAAGAGAGGAAAAATGAATTATTAGACAAATCAAAGAAAAAGAGAAAAACTTTCCATAATTTTAAGTCAGTCTAAAAATGAAAGAGAAAAACTTTGAACAATAAATAAAATATACTTTAAGAATTTCTATCTTTAAAAAGAACAAATTTTAATTTTTAATTTAAAAAGAAAATGAAGCCTTGCACATTTTATGATATAATAATAAATGGTACTATCGATTTTCTCACTCATAAACAACAATCTATTATCAATTCAAATAATTAAATTAACTTTTAATTAGAACTAACCCTTAGATTAATCATTCGAATGTTACAACAAAACTTGTGTTAATCAATTTCCGTTAAATTGTTGTGTACAAATTAAACGTTTCAGGAAAAAAAGAAATCGTTTCAAATAGAAATATAATTTTTACCTTAATCTTCCTCCATGGCAAGGAACCTTGAAGAAATTCCACTAACATATAAAATAGTGACCATAGATCATCTTGTCGACCCATTTCCTAAAAATTTAATTTTAAATTATTGAGAAATTTGTAATAGCCAAAATTTTAAAAAATTTTTTTCATGGAACAAAATTAAAATGAAGATTTGTTTCAAAAGAAATAAAGCTCTTAATATCATCCCTATTTTAACTACTTCAAATTAATCAAAATAACAATTTAATTTACTATTTTAATGTTTCAAATATTGCTACCTTTACTTTTGCATCATTTATTTCTAAGCCTAAACAATAATTTTAAACGTTAAAAATGAAAAAAAGTTAACGACGATAGCTTGAAAATATCCGTACCCTATTTTTATGAGCTGAAACAGCAGCATATCGTATGGTACCTCGGAAACCAGCTGCACTTCTTGGACTTCGAATTTCACCTTTTGCATTAAGATATTGTCGTGCAAGACCAAAATCAAGCATAAAAACCATTTTACATGTAGCATTTGTTCGACCCATTGCAAAATTTGACTTAAAAAAATTCGATCAATCAATCAATCAATATTAATTTAGCAAGCATAAAAATAAACAAAAAGCATGCAATTCGGAAAAAATTCAAATTTAATGGATAAAAGTTTCATTATGAATAGACAAATTGATCATCCTTCAATACAGAAAACATTACATTATGTTATCAAAAATATTTGATTTAAAAATTTGAAACTTTTTTTGCAGTTATGTTTTATTTCGTTGAAAAAAACGAACAGGTTTGATATCACGATGTAAAAAACCGATAGAATGTATTTCCCGGATAGCATTCAGAATTTGTAATCCAATTCGGATTGCCGTTGATAATGAGAATGATTGGCTGGGTGATTCACGACGTAAATCAGCTAAATTTTTCCCTTGCAAGCTCATTACCAAATAATTAAATTTATCATTTCGTCCACACCCGTAAAATTTGCACGCATGTCGTTTTCCTGTAAATTATAAGATATGAAATGTGACCTGTGATATATATATATCAAATATCATATATCTAAAATAATTTTAATTATATTAATTGTTTTATATCATTTAAAAATTTTCAAGATTATTTTAATTGCTCTGTTTTATTATAAATTTTAGTAATTTCAAATTTACCTTACAATATCATATTCAGAAATTTTTCCATTTTATTAAATATTAAATTTTTAAATTTTATTATCTAATATTCATTTCAAATTTCTTAATAGAATAGTTTTGCAAAAAGAAGAAAATGAAAAATAAAGCATAATTAATAATAACCCTGAAGCCTTCTTAATACTGCAACTTCCATCTTAAGTACTTGTTTGGTAGCTTTACTAGATTCCACTTTCATCGCCACTCTTTCATTATGATTTTGCAAATCGGTAGCTTCGTAAATTTCGCCAAAGCCGCCACCTCCAATTTTCATCTTCTGCAAAATTATCCGTGCATATCTATTACTCTTTTCATCTTCTCAATTTTCAAAATTTTACAGTTAATAAATTATTGAAGAAATATTCGCAAATTTTCATCGTTTTATAATTTTAATCGAATAGCTAAGAAACTGAAAACAAAAACTGACCAAAACATATTAATGTGAAAAATTTAGCATTAATTCTTAGATCAGAAATTTATTTCAATTATTAAAAATTTCAAAATTAATAAATAAATTAAAATGGAATAATTAGTTTTAATTTCTAAAATAATAATCACACAAAATACTTACGATTTTCCATCGTTCTCGGATAATCTGACATGGTTGAAGTATTTCGCCTTCGCTGGAACTCATAACGGTACATTTGTCACTCAGTACGTCGTTTTTATTATTATTGTTATTAAAATATTCAATAAATGTGATAGAAGAAAATGGAGAGAGAGAGAGGGAAAGAAAGGAATAAGGAGGGAGAAGAGAGAGAGAAAATGAATGAGTGAAAACCCGTATAAAGGACACTTGAGGCACCTGAAAAAGAATTTTTCTTTAAATTGAAATTTAAAATGAATGACAAATTATGAAAAACGTTGAAATAATCAAATACAGTATTTATTCAATATGTTTTAAATATGAAATACACAAAACTCATTTAATAAAATTTAATATTGTGATCGATTTTTTCGATTAATTTATTTTTTTTCATTGATAAAATGAATTATCGCAATAAATTTAAATGTGAATGTTTTCGATTCAATTTAAATAATATTTCCTTAAAGTAAATTTAAATGAAAACTTTCTTATTTAAATTTATTTTTCTTTTTCAATTTCTCAAATTATTATTATTCCCATTTAAACTTATTTCATTTCTCATAAATTTGAAATAGTTATTTGATTAAATGCAATTGAAAATTGAAATTAACTATTAAAAAAATAATAAAATGCGAATTACAACATATTAGAATAAAATTGAGAAATATTCTTCTCATCAAAAAGCATAAATAATTAATAGAGCAATTAATAAATATTTATATAATTAATAGAGAAATTTAATAGTAAAAAAAAAAGAAGGAAAAAGAAAAAAAGGAAGTTGGTAATAGTTTTTGGAAAAGTTTTTACTTCTTCCATCGTAAACATCTCTTGCGAATTTTGGTTGTCACTTTTGTTATACTTTTTCACCACCTTTTCATATCATTTTTCCTTGCCCAATATTTCAAGACAAATGACATGCAATTTGTAGAAATACAAATTAAATAATCCATTTGTGATTTTTAAGAAAAAGGGAGAGAAGAAAGAATGAGAGAGAGAGAGAGAGAGGGAACGAGAAAGAGAAAAAGAAAAAAATTGACTTTTGATTTTTCAAAAGAAATAGGATATTTTATGCCAGTTGAAATTTGTCGAAAACGATCATAAAATGAACGATCTTACAATTAACAAAATCAATTCAAAACAATTTTTGATTGGAATATTTTCTTTTAATTGTTCAAAATTGAAATTGTTTTAATAAATATATAAATAATTGGATAGGTTAATAAATAAATTTTTCACTTCCATTTACGCCTAAATATATTTATAAACAATCGAAAAATTTATTGTGATAAAATTATCCAGTAATTATTTCAAAATTTTTAATACAATCCACTCCGAAATTTTTAATACAATCCATTTCAAAATTTTTAATACAATCCATTCCAAAATTTTTAATACAATCCATTTCAATAGCAAATATGTTTATAATTTTCTACGATATTGAAAAATAAATGAAAACAAAAGAGGAAATAATAAGATAAGTGAATGAAAAAAAGAGCAAACAAAATGAAATGAAATTTAAATAGTAAAAAAAGAGGGTAAATAATTTGATAATTAATGAGTGATAAGATAGAAGAAGTATTACACATAATATTATTTAGGACATTAACAGTCAACAATAATGAAAAGTGTAATAATTTAGTATTTGCACAGCGTCAGTTACACCTAATTTTAGTTTAGTTAAGCATTTTAGAAACGAAATGAAGAACAAATAAAATTAAAGTAAATAATATATTTTATTTAATACTTTCACAATTATGCTACCACTCATTTTCTTCTTTTATTTTTCAAATTTTAAAATTTTGTTAAAAATAGAATGGGAAAGGATGGAAAGAAATTATTTAAAAATATATATTGATGGCTTATATATTTTCAAAAATTAAAATGAAACAGCTTGTAGAATTTGTTTGTGGAAGCGGAAAGAAATGAAACTGGATTAAAATTTATTGAACAAAATTTAAATGCAACTCATCACGAATCTTTTTCGTTTCTAACATTCTTTATTTTTCTTCATTGCTCGAATGATATCAAACTTTTTCGTTTCAATTTAAGAGATATTACTAGGATATGATATGATAGGATAGGATATCTTTTGTCTTTTTCAAATTTGTTTAGCAAATTTTTTTTATCAATTTTATAATTTTGTAAAACTGATAAACAGAAATTTCAATTCACTTAATCTTAACTATAATATTTGATAAATTAAAATTTATTTAATAATTTTATTTGTTAGATCAAATATTGATGGATTGGTAAAATTAAAAAACTATCAAAGAACCAAAAATTCTGAATAATAAAGCCGTGAATGTGAATACATTTCTTTATTTTCTCTATTTCAACTAGTATGATATTGTCGTTAAGATAGGGCTGCTATTGACAGATGACAATAACAAAAGGCTAGTTTAAAGGGAAAATTTATCACTATTTGGATTCCCAAAACTATCATTCATTCAAATTTTGGCCTATTTTTTTCCCCATTTTCTTCTTAAGTTTTTTTTGGATTGTAATATAAATTTAACGAAATGAACTGAAATTTCTTAGCAAATTTGTTTGAAATGTCTCACATTCTTATTGAAATCCTTGAAAAAGTTTATGTTTTATTAGAAAATATTACAAAATATTCGTAATTTCAAGAAGAAAACAAGAAAATAAACGAAAAAAAGAAAGAAATTTCAATGAGTGATTTGTTATTAAAAACTTTTTTGCCATTTAATCAATCAATCAATATTGCTATCTTTTACAATGTAAATGAAACATTTGTTAATCAATGATAAATGATACGATGAAAAATATGATAAAATAAATAATTATTAGCAAATATTATACAATGAAATTTTATGATAAGATTATAATAATTTTTGCTAATTATTATTTTTTTCTCGGATAATTTTTGATATGTATGCTTTTTTTCAGAAATTTTAATACAACAAACTATAAAATTGCGAAATGTCTTCCATAAGTATTCCAATGGATATTATAAGTATTCAAGTTTTTGTATTTAGGTTTCAGTTTTCAAATAAATATTTTCTACAATGAATGTAAAGTTGGAAGTATAGCTATGTTTGTCCTTAAATTTTCTACTAACAATTCTTTATTATTTACCAGAATAGCATTATAATATACAAGCTATTAGCTATTTATCTTTTCATTAACACTAAGCTAAAGAATTTGAAAACAAAAAGAAATTGAAAAGATAAGAAGGAAGTAAACAACTTTAATAAATAAATGAATAACCTTTACTGAAGAAAAAAATAACTAAAAAGTAATTAAAGTAATAAGGATATTCTTCCTTTTCATTTTTCATATCATTCAAATTTATATTTTTTTGATGTTTTTATAATAAAACAAAAGATATGTGTTCGGTGCAGGCAGCTGTCACATTAGTTAATATTTTTTGTCACTTTCGCTTTTTTTGTCATTACGAAAATATTAGGGAAAAGTTTTAGTATAAGTGCTCGTAGAAAAATAATAATAATATTAATAAAAGAAATATCAAATGCATTTTGCTAATTTAAAATACTTTTTGTTTTTATGCAAAAAGAGTGGAAAAAAATTTTCTGCAATGAAGAAAAAACAGATTTTATATTTGTTAAAATGGGAAAATTGAAATTTAGGAAATAGTTTGTTTGATTAAAGTAATATTAGGAATGAATGAAATGGATGTGAAGAGAGAATATTTTGATTATTTTAAAAAAAGAGAAAATTTTAGTTGAAAATGTTATAAGAGATGAGAGAGAGGGAAAAAAATGGAGAGAGAAAGGCAAACGAAAAAATATGTTAATGGCGTTAAGGCTCAAAAACTTGATAATCGAAAAGTTTGTTTAGAAGATTTTGAAGAAAGATGAGAAATGGGGTGGTGGCAAAAAGTTGAAAAATATCGATAACGATGACGGCAACGAAACAAACCTTCAAATAAACTCTTTTCAAACCGATCGATGAGTTAGTTATTTATGAGATAGATAAAATTTTAGGAAGAGACTTTTCGATCTTCAAATTTTTTACAACAGAATTTCAAGCTTTTTTTCCACCTACTCTCCTAACAATAATAATATAAACATTTAAATGAAATAAAGATTGTATATCATTAAAAAGTTCTGACTGAATGATATGCATTGGATGATTAAATTATGGTATTGAAATGATATGAAAGGAAATATGAATGTATGAATTTATGGAAGGAAAGTTTGTTTAAACAAATGACAACTGCAAAATGATAAATTAATAATGATTAAAATTTTTAGAAAATATAATTTCGTACAAAAATATTGCGTTAATTTAAATTTTAATTTGATAAATAAGTTTTGTTTATTATTTTTTCTATGCACTTTTTTTTTTGTATACATTTTGTTTACTATTTTTTGTAAACATTTTGTTTACTATTTTCTGTATTAATTTCAATGTAATAAAAACAGTCTTAAATGGAAAATTGAATAAATTTGTTCAAAAAAAACTTATTTTTAAAAATTTTATATTTAGCTTGCAAAATAAACAATAACATTAAATTATATAATAAAAATATAAAATTGTTTGTAAACAATAAACATTGCATTGTGTGAAGAATAATGTTCGAAAATAAGGGCGAATATTTATTAAATAAAATTGTGATATTATTCAACATTATCCAATAAAACTATTATGCAACGATTTTTCAAAAGTTTTACCATCCAAACTAATTATCTTAATTAATTATAAGGGAAAAAAAGTTTTCAGTATTAAAATATAAAATATAAACAAATCAATATTATAACTAAAATTTCATCCAAATTTATTCCGCTAAAATTTTCTTAAATTATTCGTTAAAAAGAAGAAATAATTGTGATACGATTAAAATTTCATTCAAATTTTACTTCACTAAAAAAAGCCGCTATTATTATGTGCTTTTTCATCCTTCTCAACAAAAAATATTTTAATAATTATAATTTTAAATTAAAATAAAAGGAGAAATTATCGAATTAAAAATTATTGAATTTAAAATTGATAAAATTAAAATTGATGAGATTAAAATTAATTATACATATGGTTTGCATTAATTTAATGCGCAAAAATGCTTA